GTTTACCATTGGTCAACAAATAGATGAATGAATAGGCAGACTAGAAGACAGATTGGTTCAGTCCTATTTTGAGCATTTATGCTCGAGATAAATAGAAGTAAGCTGAAACTGAGGGAAAAAAGTACAACAAACACAGAAACGTCTGGGACAGTAATACTGCTGATAACCGTAAGGAGCGGTGACGACAGGCGACAATGATGGGCAACAGAATACGGCTAAAAATCAGCGTAAGATTGGTTATTGTAACAGAGAAATTGTATTACGGCATCAGAAGCTTGTGCAATATTTGGCTGAACAAAACGATGATTCTGAATGCTCTTTCTGCAAAATGTTCTACCTGACATTATAGAACATTTTTTTTTGTTGTTGTCTTTGTTGTCTTTGTACAGAAGTCATCTGTTCAAACAACAAAATTGATTTTGTATTCATCATTTTCTTTACCTCTCCCAATCTCCAGTTTTTTGTGATCTTCATTTTAGTCGACAGTCTCAAAACTTGGACAGCAAAATTGACAACAGTATTGGCAACATCGATAACAATAGTCTATATGCTGATCAAACAGAATGAAAAACAAAAGATTAACAACAATAAAGTTAGATATTGAATAAATATTGAGGAGAAAAATAGCGATCAAATGATGTACTTTTTAGGAAGGAAAAAAAAATGACAAAGAACATAAAGAACATTACAGTTGTTTCACATACCAATATTTTTCTTTGCTTTATTTTGCTTTTCTTTCATTTCATCCATTTCACTTTAAAAAGTTTTATTTGATCCTATAATTCGCTTGGTTCTTCTATAAAACTCTTCTGTATAAAACAAGTACTTTTTTGGGTTGAACGGAAATTGTTGAACTGTTTTTAGTGTACCAAAAAAAAAGAAATGGGCTACTGTTGCTGTCTTTAATAATGAATGAATGCTATTTATAAATACGATATTACAAACATAAAAATACATTCAAATAAATACAAAAAAAAAAAAAAACAACAAATTAAGAGTTTTCATTTTTTATTTGATTTATTACTCTTAACTTAAGTTTTAATTATTTTAAACGTTCCAACTTTGTGGTTTATTTTCCTTGCACTGTCACTCATTTGGACACCATATCAATCTGTCGTTCGGGCATTGCATTTATAAAATTTTTTTCTTCTTTGAAACGTTACTAATCAATTTATTTGTTCAAAGAAAAAAAGCTCATAGTTTTTTTTCTATTATTCTGCCATTTATTCATAGAAAAAAAAAGAAATTATTTTTTGGCCTGTTCATTTCACTCGTTTTGTTGTTGTCGTCATTTTGATTTCCCATTGATTGTCTTTTATGAAGTAACCAAAAAGTTTTGTCTCTACGCCCAAAAATATATTTGAAAATTTTTTAAACACATCTTTTTTTTTGTAGAAAACATTTTTGCTGTAAAGTCAATAAAGAAATAGTAATCAAAAATTGATAAGATTAACATTGTATTGCTTTTTTTTTTTTT